TCTAACCAAGAATTTCTATGACACTTATATTCTGTCATCATCCTGAAAAGTATAACATAACACATGAAGTGTAACAAAAATGAAACTACACTATGTATGGAATGAAACATAAAAAAATTATGAAAGTTCAAACATAATACTAAGTTAAAGATCATATTTCTAAATAGAGGGGTATGGGATATGTCTCCGGTCATGTTCCTTGAGCAACGGCTATTGTAACACCACTAAATTCTAAATACAGAAAATCTAAAGAAATGCGGAAGCGAATTCAAAGTTTTAAACTCAATGGGGGTAGGGCTGTGCAAACCCGACCCAACCCGCAAAATCCGTCCGACCCGACATCCGAAACCATGCAATCCGATATGATCCGCATCCGATTCTCCATATCCGATCCGCAGGCTAAACGACGCCGGATAATGCAAATCGGATAGGGTTTGGTTTTTTTCCATCCGACCCGTCCGAATATCCGAAGTTTATTAGGGTTAAGGTTTAGGTATATACTATACGACGTCGTTTAATGTTAGTATATATGTATGTTGAACGGTGATGATGTCCATTTGCGCAGTCGCTACTCTCTCTCTCTCTGAGACTTCTCTGAGTTCTCTCTACTCCTCTCATCCTCCATTCCTCTGACATCTCTCTACTCTCTAAGAGTCTGAGTTCTCTCTGTTCTCTCTGTTCTCTCTATTCTCTCTGTTCTCTACTCCTTAGTCTCGTCTGTTGTCTCTTCTTCTCCAATAGACGGTAGTCTGAGCCTGAACAAATGGTAGGTGTTGCTATGTTGCTCATGTGCTATTATAACACATTTGAGCAACTTGCCCCTATCATTACTTGAAATGGAAAATTGCAATATGAGCCTATAAGGCTATTAGCCTAATGCCCCTACAGCTTCATATTGTTTAGAGTTAACTGTTTACTTAATTGATAATATGTTGCCTAATATTGTTTTAAGTTTTGATATTAACAAGAAGAAGTGTAGAAATGGTTATTGCTGTAAAGAACTAAAGATGTTGATTGGAATGATTGCTGAAGCCTGAAGTTTAAGTGATTAACTTTTTTTTTGAATTTTTGAAAGTTAAACACTTAAACTTAGATTAATTTTGTATTTTTGTTTACTTTTGCAATTTTTGTTGTAAAATTAAACGATTATATGTTTGATGTTTCTGTTCTGTAGCTCTGAAAATTATTAAGTTGTTGCATGTTTTATTCTTAAGGAATATTTTGTTTCATTTAATCAGTTATTCAATTATTAATTACTTTTTGAAATCCGAATGAAATCCGAAATCCGATCCAAACAATCCGACATCCGATCCAAACGATCCGACATCCGAAGTAGCATATCCGATTGGTTTTTAGGTACAACAAATAACGGATTGGATTGCAAAAATGCAATCCGAAATCCGATCGGATGGACGGAATACAAATCCGATCCGATCCGTCCGATGCACACCCCTAAATGGGGGTGTTATTGCACGCTTAGGTTACTTACAAGATACAATAATTCAACTATGAAATTCAACAAAGGGTTTATCTAATACAAAGGATAAGACCACACCATTCAGACTAGATATCGCGCTCTCGGGGAATATCTCTAAGCCAACCTGGAAACATTTTATAAAAATTAGTGAATGATGCTAAGTAAATCCACTCCAACATGTAAAACTACATACATATACTTTTATATCAAAATAGATTTTGCAACGGTATGACTATATATATATATATATATATATATATATATATATATATATATATATATATATATATATATATATATATATATATATATATATATATATATATATATATCAATGAACTCAACTGAAAGATTCCAAAGATAGATACTCAATCAACAATAATCAATTCTAGGGGCACTAGACTTATTCCAAGAACGACAAGGTTCAATAGGTAACTCAAAAGAGATATAACCAAATTGACCAACAAAGGAATTCCAAGAGTTCTCACATCAACAAGTTACAATGGTATATACATAGCCAAAGGAAATATATAACAAATAGCCAAATGCTCAATATCAAATCAATATCCAATCGAACTCCAATCCAACCTTTACACCAAGAATCCAACATGTATGTACACCAATCCAACCTTATCCACCAAAGTGAAGCCTAAGCCTCTTCCACCTATGCAATTCATATTCCACCAATGCAAACGGAGCCAAAGCTCATATTCCACCAATCCAATAATAATACAATATAGCTAATCAAATGTATATATATACCATCAAATAACTCAAGAACCAATTGATATCAAGAGACCATGATTCATGAAGGAATCACAATTCAAAAGAAGGCCAAAGAGTTCACAAAATACTGGGATAGACTTGCAATACACCAAAGACCGAACAACAATGCACAGGAAAACCAAAAGAAGTGCATTATGAAAAATACTCCCAGGACCTAACGGTCCATTGCCGCGGGGGTAGAATACCCGCCGGACATTACCGCACAAAGGAGGTGGGTGTGTGCAACGGGCAAGAGATTCCCGCCACACACCCCTGCAAGACACCTTGCGGGTGTCCCTCACGGACATCACACACCCGCGAGGACGGCCCGCACAACCAAAAGTGAAGCAGAAACAGTACGCAACAGAATTAATCAGACCAATTCAACAGTAACTCTATTTCATCAAAACAAAGGCTAAAACTCAACAAGAAATACATACCAACAATGCTAGAATGACAATAGATCATAGGGAATCAAAGATATACATCATAGCTCAAGAATAACACCAAAATATACTCAAGAACAAGACTCATATCAAGAAATAACATCAAGAATATACTTAGGGATTTCCAAGAACATCGCGAACATTTATATAAGTTGGAAATAGATTTTGATGGACATGGAATATACCTTTTAGGCTAGCAAACCAAACGTCAAACACCAAGCAAATCACCCTAGCAACTCTTCTTCTTCTTGAACCTCTAAGAAACCCAAAACCCCAAAATAGAATGATGAATGTATGTAATAAAGATTATGAAATAGGAAGGGAAAATGCCAAATAGAAGATGATCTTAATTAGTTGTGTTGAGAAGATGTATAAAAGAGTAATCTTGGTGGAGTTTTCCTTGTAGAAGATGAACTCAATTTCTAGTGATAAGAAGATGGAAAATGGCGTGTGAGTGAGGTGAGAGTGGAGTGGGGAGAAAGACAATGTCTAAGATATTTTATGTATGAATAGATATGATAAGTATATTAGATATATTAGGTTAGAAGAGTGGGTAAATGAGTCATATTAAATAACACATGGGCCAACTTAATAGATATAATAAGAAGTCATGGTTTATATTATACAGATTGGGCTACAAGAGTAAATAATAATAATGAGATAAGAATTAGGAATTGAGATTTAATATATTTATATTTGTTATAAAACATGATTAATGGACATTATTATAGTGCTTAATGTCCTAATTTGTAACAGCTAATCTTAATGAGTAGATTTGTAACAGCTACCCATTCTTGTGTATATATACTGTACAATGCTTGAATGAAAGGACACACTGATTTCTTCTAATTCTGGTCATTCTTACTATCACTTCTCTCTACTCTTTTACATTTCCTGCTTTAGTTCATAGATTATATTGTCTACAATACACCGGTTAGGAGCTAACGGGCCAACGGGCACCACAATTACAACACGTTATCAGCACGCTCAATCCCGGTGAACGGTACTTTTATGATTTTTCTAAGCATTATTTCTAGATGTCTCAAATTGCATATTTATACTATGAGTTTCTGTTTATGTGGAATATGTCTAAGCATTTTTTTTATATACATCCGAATTCATATGAATGTTCGAATACATATATTTTTTTTCATATACAGATAAACATTATGTTTTTTTGTATACATATACTTTTCAGAATCTACAGAATAACAGCATTCTCAATGTATACAAAATTTTCTTTTCGAAAAATGATTTACTTCGAAATAAAGAAATACATATTTTTTTCGAAAAAGTCGAATGTATGTATACTCTTTTTTTTTCGAAAAACCACAAAAAAAAAAAAAAAAAAAAAAAACCTGTTTTGGTCGTTGATCTAAGCCCGGTGGTGGGCGGCGACGGTAGCAGTCCCGACAATACGGCTCTCCGGCAGAGGGCGGTGGCGGCTCGCGATAGCACGACTCTCCGGCAGAGGGCGGCAGCGGCTCTGGTTCAACATCCCAGACATTGTGACCGCTCTTGTTTTTGTTTTGTTATTTTTTTTCTCGCGGCTCATCTAATCTGTAATGCTTGGCCGATCAATCTGACTAGCCGCATCAATAAAGTGCAAGGAAACCTTCTGCACATACAGAGGTGTTCGCATCCTTTTCTTGCAATCGCATTCCGCTCGGGCGCGTTTGGCGAGATCCGCGAACATCCAGAACCTCCGGCGAGGGTTCTTGGCAAGCCAGAGGGCGGATCTCCATCTCGTAAGATGGAGATGAAAGTTATAAAAATCGATCCATCTCGTAAGATGGAGATGAATGTTATAAAAATCGATCCATCTCGTAAGATGGAGATGAAAGTTATAAAAATCGATCGATTGACATCAGATGCAAAATATGAAAATCCAATGCAGTTTTGATCTGATATAGGGTTCTAATTTTTGTTTTAATTAGTCAAACCCATTTTGGGTATTTTTTGGCCCGTATTTTTTTTAACAGAAAAGTGTGTTTTGGGTCTTTTACTTGTTTTGGGCCCATTTCAAAACATTATGTTTTTTTGGGGCTTATGATTATTTATTAATCTTTTCTGATATACGTATAAATGTATAAATTGTTTTGGGCCTATTATCTGAATATTATGGTTGAATATGTTTATATATTAAATTGCTATTTTTTTGCAATTTATTTGGATAATATGATGAATTTCTATGCATATTCTGTCTTGCATAATATATAATTTTATTATTATGTGAATTATAAAATTAGGCTTTGGATTTACGCCATCAAGTTTAGCCAGAACTAATAATTTTCTTTTGAAAACAATAGATTATGGCTGCCATCGTGAAACGTGAATTCACCGAGCTTTCCCTGGATGGAAGCAATTATTTGACATGGGCCCTTGACGTTGAGATTTATCTCACATCAACAGAACTACAAGACACAATCATTGAAAATTCCCCGAGCGATGACGCTCAGAAAGCTAAGGCCCTAATTTTCCTCCGCCACCACCTCAACCATGATCTCAAGAATGAGTACCTCACTGAAAAAGACCCACATGCCCTTTGGAAATCCCTTAAAGATCGTTTTGACCAGCAGACATCACTGATCTTGCCACAAGCACAATTCGATTGGTTAAACCTCCGATTCCAGGATTTTAAATCAGTAACTGAATATAACTCAGCATTACACAAGGTCGTATCTCAGCTCAAGCTCTGTGAGCAGGAACTCTCAGATACAGACTTGATAGAAAAAACCTTGTCCACATTTCATGCTAATGATCTTGTACTCCAGCAGCAGTACAGGGCCAAAAACTATTCTAAGCATTCAGAGCTGATTTCTGCGTTACTGGTCGCTGAAAAGCACAACCAATTGTTGATGCGTAACCACAATGCACGCCCAACCGGCGCTGCACCTGCACCTGAAGTGCACCATGTTGCCCAATCAAGCAACAATCGGAGGGGACGGGGTCGAGGGCGAGGAAGAGGCCGCGGTAGGGGCCCGAAGCGAGGTGGCAGGAGCGGAGCTAATAACGGTGATTCTCGGACCCAGAATAAGCAACCCGAAGATCAAACTCGTCAAGGACAACAAAATACATGCTATAAATGTGGATGCAAAGGACACTGGTCCCGCACGTGTCGCACTTCAAAACATTTGGTCGAAGCCTACCAGATGATGATACAACAAAATAATGACCGGAAGACAAATGAATCCTCTCAAGCTGCATTGCCTGAAGCAAACGCCTTACTCAATTTGAGTGATGACTTATTAGGCGAGGAACTTAAGGATTATGGAAACCAAGAATGAGTGTCTCATTCTTTTCATGCATCATTTTCGTTCTTTTATGCATGTGAGCATATATCTTTCAAAATAAGATACTCTATTGTTTTGAGTAATCCTTTATCTATGAATTTCGGATAATTCTTTATCTATGAATTTCAAAAATAAGATACTTTATTGTTTGCCGGATACTTGTTGGGGAAATAAAATATTCCATGCTACTACTTTAATTCTAAACCTCCGGCACACTACATATCCTTATTCTCCCTTATACTTGATATACGTGATTTCAAAATCGTACATTTCCCAAAATCTGCAGTATGCAGTTTATTTTACTGTCACACCACCATGGCATATCTCTAGAGGCTATCAAATACACATTGGTTGTATGCCTCTGTCAGTTGTCTAAAAATCTAGAGAAGGATCACTGACTTCATACTTTATGAAGATCGGTTCGCGGCATTAGGGGGAGATATGAGTCAGAATGCCGAGAAATTTCACAGAATGGAATGATCTTCATCTTTCAAAATCACGTACTAGTTCATAAAATAATTGCAACTATCTGCCAAAGAGTGAAAAATATGAATCCAAAAGAACTAGATCTAGTAAAGAATTTTTGTCACTCTCGAAAAATCTTAAGAAGTTATGTACGTCCAGAAGACGAGAAAACTCAGTAAGTTGATAGGTGCACCAAAATAATCACAATACTGAGATGCGGAACAACTAGATGCAAATATCTTTGGGAAATGGCTATAATCTAGTTGACTTAGAAATACTATAAAAGCTTTTATATGTGGGAGAAACTTATGAAAATATTAAAGTTGTCGACAACACAATTACCTTTAATTGCTCATATTATATCTGGATCCAGAGTTAGGCACTAGAAGTGCCCTAATTAACTAATGTATAAAAAGAGCAATTAAAGGCATATATATAGCTCAACTCGCTGATAAATGCTCTTTATAACATATACACCATTAACCCTGTAGGTTACAAAATGGGTATGTGTATGAAAGAGAAACAAGGATAATGAGGTGGTGTAAATATAAAAGCGAGTTCGTAGCTAAATGAATATACTCTCCAAAATGAATGTCATTAAAGTTCCGCTACATAACTGGCAGAATGATAAAATAGGATATGCAGAATTAAAAGTTCTCAAAAATGAGAAAAATAAAAACCGCAACATGTATCTTTGAGATACAAAGTTTGTTTATATATGAGTAACTAAGTAGGATTTTTTTTTGGCTACTTGGATATTGGTTATTTTAATTGATATTCTTGATGACAAATCCTAAACTGGTTATGTTTTGTTTTACCCACATTAATTATCTAAAAGCTTATGTTATACAAATATTAAATGGGTATAGTTAAGAATATTAAACAAAATACATAGCATCAATATTCAATCCATGTGAGCTCCAGAAGAGTCACTAGATCATTATACATAATGTTAGTTCTAGTAACAATCTCGAAGGGTGTATCATATCCCCTATCAAAACAAATATTTTATTTAGAATATTTAAACTTTGAAGATTATTATCTTCAGGGGGAGACTGAAAGTACATTCAACTCAAATTAATCCCATAGATTGGGTCTTAAAAGACTAACAATTGTACCTTTTGCAACATATACATACCATGTACTCTTTTCCTCACTAGGTATTTCTCATTAAGTTTTTCTAGTGTGGTTTTTAACGAGGCATGGGTATGATGCCAATAAGAAAAGTTACAAAATAAATGTTTAATAGACAAACCTCAAAATCCTGAAGATTATGCCTTGAAGGCTTATAGTTGTATTCTTTTTCCCTTAACTAAGTTTTTTTTCCCACAGGGTTTTCTTAAGTTAAGGTTTTTAATAAGTCAACCAAACAATATATGATTTTTATATATCATGTACTCTTTTCTTCAACTAGGTTTTTTCCCACGTGGTTTTCCTAGTATAGTTTTTAACGAGGCATGATTATGACAAAATAATGTCCAAGGGGGAGTGTTATAAAACATGATTAATGGACATTATTATAGTGCTTAATGTCCTAATTTGTAACAGCTAATCTTAATGAGTAGATTTGTAACAGCTACCCATTCTTGTGTATATATACTGTACAATGCTTGAATGAAAGGACACACTGATTTCTTCTAATTCTGGTCATTCTTACTATCACTTCTCTCTACTCTTTTACATTTCCTGCTTTAGTTCATAGATTATATTGTCTACAATACACCGGTTAGGAGCTAACGGGCCAACGGGCACCACAATTACAACAATATTGGCTAGGGATTTATTTATATTAGAAGTTGGACTAAATTGAAGAACAAATCCCTTATCAAAATAATTAAAGTACTAATTATAGAATAATTAGTACGGGGTGTCACAGCTTTCTACGTACCAAATGACCATGTAAACCTGAAATCAAAAATTAATTTTATTTAAGTACACATACCTTCGTGGGTACTTAGCTTGTTGGTTAGTGAGCTTAGGCATCTATTTGAACCTAGAGCTTGTCAAACCCATTCTCGGTCCAATGTAGCTGTTAAAGACATCATAATTATAAGGGATATTTTGAAATTTCTTGGGAATTTTAGGTGCATAATGTTTTTGAATTTGGAGTTTACGAACATTGCTATGCACCCTAGAATAAGGCGTTTGCTTAAGCCTATGAAACCGCTCAAATTGCGCTTTGGGCGATGGTTCATGGACCATAAGCCAGTCTTTATCGAAGGGAAACAATTTTCTGGCACCTCTCATTGGTTTTCTAGTTGACTTCTAAGGCTTTACATGCCCTCTAATTTGACCATTCGGATAACGATTCGGTTTACCATTTAGGTGACCATTCGATCTCCTTCTCGAATGGTTAGACCTTGAGTTGTTCTTACACCACAATTTCATTAGATTTTATAATAAAAAAAAAAACAAAAAAAAAACAATTTCAAACACATACTAGTTTCATTTTATGTATTTCATAGTTTCATTTCAACAATATTATACTATCACTTAAAGTACAAGACAGTTTCTTTAGGTGGTATAAAAAAAGACATTGAGTTAAAATATCAGTATCATTTTATGTATGCCACAATTTCATTCCAAGAATACTTTAGTTTCATTTGTATTACACCTCAATTTCATTAGATTTTAAAATGACATTTAACAACAGTTTCATTTTAAATACATTATAGTTTCATTTTAACAATACCACATTTTCATTTAATCCAAACTACAAAATCATTCCCATGCATACTGCATAAAAATTGTTAGACATGGCAATAAAAATCCAATACAAACTGTATTTAAATCCACACTACTATTAGCATTGTCCTTTCAAAATTAGATCTAAAATGAACCAACTTTAAACTACTACTACTAGAGGGATAAGAAAATAACCACTACCTACCATATTAGAAATAGATTCCTAAACGTAACAGGGGACTGAACTACTGTCATGCCTTTGTATTCAATTCAACAGACTTGGCATAACTCTTTCGAACTCTAGCATGATTATACTTCTTTTGCATTGTGCTAATCAACTTTCTATTGTGATCACCTTTTGCCCTACTATGTGATGGATTTTGTATTACACCACATGTGGGTCGGGTCATTCACCCACTTCAAAGAAAATATGACCAATTTCACCTTCAATCTTTCTTTTGGCATCCCCAAATGCATCTTCACATACTTCTCGAGCTTTACAATTGCCTAGACTAGATAAAACCAGTTGCTGAACTTCCTACCCATTTGTATAACCCAAACTGATGAAGCAACACTAAAAACATTTGAGAGAGATGCAGTATCCATAATTCTATCTTCAAGAACTATTTTGGTTCATCTTTTAAGAACGTACTTATCAGGGATTGTTGCAGCATAATAAATATTTAAAATGCATAAATAATAAGAGCATAAAATACTCATCTCTAAAAACAGCTTGCCTACAACATATATACAGGTCCTTAACTCTAAAACAACCTCATGACGAATAAGATCAATATCAGAACGTTAAACATCATATTTAATTTCATCACCACTACCCCCACAACTTCTTGATGGAATGAAGAACCTTTCAAGAACTGTTCCTCAAATGGATAACATATTTCAATGGTGTAAACATCTCTAGCATGTGAAAGGAGCTTCACATGATTCATAGCATGGAAAACACACCTTGGGAGCAGCACACAACTTCACCATTCTCATTACTTTTTCACTAAGAAACCACATTAACAACGGAATTATAAAAATCACACAATCCAGCTGTTTTTATAATCTTCTAGAAATGGAATGGTTTGTAGACTCACTCCTTTGGGAAGATAAAATACTTAAATACCACTAGAGAAATAATCTTTACTAAACGCATGACACAATTTCTCCATAATGTTGTAGAGTTTATCTAACTAGGAATTGTTAAGACACTTATACTCTGTCATCATCCTGAAAAGTATAACATAAAACATGAATTGTAACAAAAATGAAACTACACTATGTATGGAATGAAACATAAAAAATTTATGAAAGTTCAAACATACTACTAAGTTAAAGATCATATTTCTAAATAGAGAGGGGTATGTGGTATACCGAATAAATCCAGTTGAACTATACTTTTTTTGAACATCCAGTTGAACTATACAAACATATAAAATCTTCAACTAATTAATCCACAATCACACTAAAAACAAAACATAAAATAAACACTAACGTAGTATCATTTTATAAACACTGCAAAATCATCTAATGAATGTTGAGTTTTCAAAAATAAAAAATCTAATGAATGTTGCAAAACATACCTGGTCCAGAAAAATTCGAATTCAACTTCTTTATCAGTATACTTTAACATAAAATTGAATAACTTTAAGAAACACTTTTGATTCCTTAATCCTTTTAATGTGCTTCTTTGAATTCTCCCAATATGTCATATACAAAGCCTATGATTTGAACTCAGAAAGACTTGCGTGATTGAAGCAGCCATAGCAGAACACTTATCAATCATTACTGTTTGTGGGCACCTACCATCCATAGATCGTAGAAATGTTTTGAACAACCAAACAAAGGATTCTATTTTCTCATTCAATAAAAACCACAACGAAACATTACATTCATGCAGTGGTGATCCATACTTACAAAAGGGCCACAAATTATATCGTACATATTGGTACGCTATGTTATATCATGTATTATTAAATCTCGAAACAACCCATTATCCACATTCATTTGTGCATCCCTCCAAAAAAAAAAAAAAAAAAGCTACATAATCTTGCATCTCTATAGACTTCAAAGTAATAAAAAAAAAAACTCAATTCTTCATTTGTTTCCTCATAATTATCTCAATCGAAGTATTAGAATCAGTACCATCTAAATTCTTCACTGAATCTAAAAAACAGTATTGTAAGCATCTCTAGAAGTAATCCAACAAATGGTGAACCTCTAGACTGATTTTTTAAAAAACGAATACCATCTAATAAGGCAACTTAACGCTTCTTCATGTCTTTTAAATATGTCAATTAATTCATAGAAACATTTCTATGTGACTTAAGCAAACCTGGACATGATGAGAGGATACACAACCGGACTTTATGAATTGTGATCAACAACAACTATGAATTTGCATCAATCTCATCAATATTGCTTCTACCTATCGTTTCATTCATGTTTGAATAGAAAAAGATCGCCGCGCTATGAGAGAAAGAAGAACAACACGAATGAGAGAAAAAGGAATAAGGACGATGAATGATAGAATTTGCCTGTTTGAAAGAATTACCGGTGATGTTTGTATCTTGCCAATGCCTAACTTCAAGACGACGCCCGGTTTACACTAAGGGTCCGTTTGGAAAGCAAGAAAATGACTTTTGGAAAATGACTCATTTTTCAAAAAACATTTTTCTTTTCCGCGTTTGGTTATTGCATTTTGGAAAACATGGTGTGTTTGGTTTATTTTCTAAAAAATGAGTAGAATTGTATAATTAAATATTTTGACGAAAAATGACTTCTACCAAAATGGCTTCATTTTCCCCCGTTAACGAAAATAAATGACTGAATTTTCCTATTGCATCCAAACACTGAAAATTTCTATTGCATCCAAACACTGAAAATTCAAAAAATATTTTCCAAAAGTCATTTTCTAGGTTTGGAACTGACCCTAAAATTTGCCTAAATTTTCATAACATAAATTTTCATAACAGGTTTAGACCTAAATTTTCAAAGCCTGACTGTGCTCGGCCTATTTCCATTCTAATGAGGGCGAGGTGTGAGTCCAGCTATAAACGTTCATCTATTTAGAAGGTGACAGTGGGACTATGATTGGGAGTGGCATATTTCACAGAAAAACACTTAGTCGCCAATTAGGTGCATTTTCCTTCCGACTCCATGAAACCTCCACGAGCACCTCCGTTCTCTCATTATCTATCGACATCCTCCATTGATTTAAAGGTGAGAACAAATGAATCGGTATCCTCTCTTCACACATTTGTTTCCCACTTTCTCATTCGAGAATCAACCCAAACTCTTCCCTCCCCAAACAAATTAACCAATGCCCATATTTTCAATGCATCAAAAATCTCATCTTGCGATCAAGTTTCAAGAAACTTCAATTGGTTTGTTTCATCTTCAAAACCCCAGAGCTATGAACTTTCTCCAACCCACTCCCTCCGTTCGTCCAAGAAAGCAGAATCCATTTTTATTTGTGGCCAAATTGTTTCCCATATTTCGCAATTAAGACGATTTTCAAGCTCTCCGAAGGGACCTTCTTCATCCGGCGATTCGGTGCCATTAGACAACTCTAGCACTCCCATTGACGCAGGTTCTTCAATTCGAAAGCCGACCAACTTGTGGCCTGGAATGTATTATTCCCCAGTGACAAATGCCTTGTGGGAAGCAAGATCGAGCATTTTTGAGACGCTTTCTAATGCCACCACCATTGATGCCCCTCCCCAGAGTGAACTGATGACAAAGACTCCTGGAATGAGCAGGAGCAGTGTATTCTACAAATTCTCCACTGATTATGCTCTGAGAGAACAGTATAGAAACCCCTGGAATATGATGAGGATGGGAAGATTGGTCGAAGACCTTGATGCTTTGGCTGGAACAATATCTTATAAGGTAACAAAGTCTGAGACTGATGCTTTTGTATAATTTATTTATTGTTGGATTTCTAATAAAATTTTCAAGTGGTTATTATTTTGCACATCTGGATTTCAAATTCTATTTCACAATGGGTATTGTTCTTGGGATGTTTGTGTTTTAGTTGCTAGAGTTTTTTCAGACATTTAACGAATTCTTGCCAGCCTATTGTTGTGTTTGATTGTTGATTACATTTCCATTCTGTTATTGTGATTCCATATTGCTATAATTACTTTACATGGTTTGAAAAGAGCTCTCAACATTCTTATATATATCTCTCTGCAATCCAGCACTGCTCGGATGATGATATCGCAACTAGGCCGTTATTACTAGTTACTGCCTCGGTTGACAAGATGGTTTTGAAGAAACCAATTCGAATCGATTTGGATTTGGAAATTGAGGGGGCTGTTACTTGGGTTGGGAGGTCATCCATGGAGATTCAATTGAAAGTGATTCAGCCCTCACCAGGTATGTATCAGAAAAGTAACAATGTTCATGATTTTATAATGTTTATTCCCCATTTCTCTGTGATTGTGTGCTGGTTTATGAAATAAGAAATTTCTCCTGCTTATAAAGTGCAGTGTCTTTAAAACAACATATTCTCAAAACTTTGCCTCCAATACATTTGAATCATGATCGGTTCATATTGGTTGTGATTTCTAACCGTAACTGTATGGTACAGATACTTCAGACTCTTTGGCTCTTACTGCAAACTTCACTTTTGTGGCTCGTGACTCTGTTACTGGAAAATCAGCTCCGGTCAACCAGATTTCACCAGAAACGGAAGATGAAAAGCTGCTTTGGGGTGAAGCTGAAGAAAGAAACAAAATGAGGAAGAAACCGAGAGGGGAACAGAAAAAGGAAGTTGATATTGAAGAAGTGAATAGGATTAATGAATTGTTGGGCGAGGGCAGAGTGTTTTGCGACATGCCAGCTTTGGCAGACAGGGATAGTATTCTGATCCAGGATACCTGCCTCCAGAATTCCTTGATTTGCCAACCTCAGCAAAGGAACATCCATGGTCGTATATTTGGAGGCTTTTTGATGAGAAGAGCTTTTGAGCTGGCCTATGCAACGGCTTACGCATTTGCAGGGAGTGCACCTTGCTTCAAAGAAGTTGATCATATTGATTTCTTAAAACCTGTAAGTCGATGACCAATATCTTTCAAATATAAATATTGTTTTGAACGCAATATATGTGTTAAGAGTCCCACATCTATAAAATAAGAGAGAGCATATGGGTTTATAAGACCATGGGTTAGACTAGCTAATTGGTTGGATTCAATCTTTTAGTGTGGTTTGGCCCATGTGCATTATAGCCCAGTTGAGTGACCATGGCCCAATCTTAAATTATAACAAGATGCTATATATGCTTGTCACTTTTGCCAAAATTTTCAATTCAAATTTTTTTTTGTTTGAAGGATTGTTAGGTTTTGTGAATCCATGATATGACAGGATCGGAGTTTCAAGTGTATGTTACTTTGATTTTTAACAATTGATATTCCGGTGCAGGTAGATGTTGGAAATTTCCTTCGCTTCAAATCATGTGTTTTGTACACAGAACTGGAGAATCCTTCTCAGCCTTTGATTAATGTGGAGGTTGTAGCTCATGTTACAAGACCCGAACTGCGGTCCAGTGAGGTAAGCACGTACAATAATTTACGATGTTAGTGGTTTTACTAATCTGTTGGTTTAGGTGGACTCTCTATTCTGGATTTTATAAAATTACAAATATACGCGAATGCACATGCTCAACTAATAATAAACACAATACAATATGAATATTCTATGCTGCTAAGTACTAAAATTAGGGTGTGTTTGGTTGGTGGGTTTTGCCCATAGGAATGGGTATGAAAGTGATTGTTGTTGTTTGGTTGATAGGTTTTTAGAACACTACTATGGGTTTCGAATACACCCATCAATTGAAAAATGCATACCCAAATAAAATAAGGGTTTCATTCCCTTATTCATTCTCAAGCACTACTATTAGTAACCATTCCCATTCCACCCTACTACCAAACATGTTAAATACTTTCACCAAAACCCATTACTATTACCAAGTATTTGATACTCATTCCGATTCTGATTCCGATTCTTATGTGCGAACCAAATACACCCTAAGTTTCAAGAAAACAGAGGATAGAGTTAAATTAAATTAAATAAATAATAAAACAATGATCAATTGAATCCCTAGATAAGGCTTCTAGGCTCTCTTGTTTACTACTGTAGATAATAGAATACGCAAGAGATTGTTTTGGTACATCTAAGAGGTTTGGGATCAAACTTATGGCATCCTACTTAAAGGCATAGACTTTTGCCACTTGATCACAAAGTCTTTGGCATAGAATAAAGAGTAAATACCCAAAATGGTCCCTCGACTATAGCTAAATTCACAAATTGGTCCTCGACTTTCAATTTCAACCAATTAAGTCCTTAACTTTGTAATTTTGACACGATTTGGTCCTCCATCTATTTGACCATTTGTTGACTGTGATTTTTGAGGATATATATGTAATTTCATGGTCCACCGTCGGTTTTTTAAGGTTCCGGTTGCATTTCCAGACCGCACTGTTACATTTGAATCCACTGTCGAAAGCAATCTACCAAATCCGGTCGTCTTTCTTCATCCTCCCTTTGGATTCAATGTAGTTGAGTTCGTACCAGAGCGAAGAAGACGGCGTGTTTTCTAACCAGTGCAACATCATCCTGGAGGTCTCCATGTGCTCCGACGAGAGCTGAAGGTTCTTCTGGAGATCGTCGATCACGGTCAACAAACGGTCAAATAGATGGAGGACCAAATCATGTCAAAATTGCAAAGTTAAGGACTTAATTGGTTGAAATTGAAAGTCGATGACCATTTTGTGAATTTAGCAATAGTCGAGGGACCATTTTGGGTATTTACTCTAGAATAAATAAGAGTTGCCATCTGAATGAAAGATGAAGTAAAAGAATAAGTATGACTCTTTGGGCTGCAGTAGTTAGACAAAGTATAGAACAGATACTAGCTTGTAGTAGAGTCAATAGTATTCAAAAAAAAAAAGTATGACAAAAACCAATAGAATGTATCTCCTTTTTTGGCTAGATGTTGATGCAGCCCTTTCGATGTGTTGAAGAAATCCTATAATCTAATCTCCCTTGAGGCAGTTGGATTGACTTTTCCTAGGGTCTCTCTCTATAGATGAATATTGCAGCCCTTGAGGGGGTTGGATTGACTCTTCCTAGGGTCTCTTCTATATATAAAATATTGCCACCCTTGTGTAAGATTTGGATTTGTAATGGGAGTGACTTCTCAATTTGATCTACAAAAGCTCTAGCTTCGTCCTTGTTGCTGCACATATGTTTTCCTATTTGTTTTTGAATATTTCTCTTGCACTTTTAGGCATCTTGGAAACCTTTTTTTTTTCTTTTTTTTTCTTTTTTTTTTGGTTTGTAGAATTAATGATGGGACTAAATTTATAAGTAATAAGATTTAGAAAGAGTTAATACCATAAATGGTCCTTCGACTATTGGGGTAGTGCCATTTTTGGTTTTGAACTTTTAAATCAACCAAATGTGATACCTAAACTTTTTAATTTGTGCTTAAAAGTGAACCTCTGTCATAATTTCCATGAGTTGGCATCAAAATGATGGTATTACCGTCATTTACTCCCTTTTGGCACCAAGAAGGACCAGAATTTGTTCTTATATGTGCTTAGTGGAAGGTGTTGAAATTGAGGAATTGAAAGGCCTGGCAGGTGGAGAATAAGCACCACCCGCCAGTTAGGCGGAAGCAAAATATGTGTGAAAACCAAAGAAGAAGAGAATAGAAAGAGTATATTTAATGAAAGATTACAATAGATTTAATCTCTCTGTGTGCTCTATACTTCTATATACCTCTATTTATACTAAATTATATACTAAATCAATCCTAATAGGAATAGGAAACTAAGCCCACTCCTACTAGGAGTTTCCTAATATTCAATTGAAGGAAAAGAAAAAAATAATTTTAACTAAAATCCATTTGAGCAAGCTATTTCTGTAGTGTAGATGCTGAATTGTAATTTTTAAAAAATAAATTTTTTTTTGAAAAGGTAGAGTTAATATAAAAGTAAGTTGAGTAAAAATATGTAAACATATAACTAGAATTTTTTCTACTAATTGCATCATACATATAACTAGAACTTCTGTCCTTCAGCCATGTACCTAGGCCATGAAATATAGTTCATTAAAAATTATTCAAAAAAATTAAGTTTTGTGGACTAATAAATATCACAAGAATTTTAAAATGGATTTAAAAATAGCTTGCTGCAAGTGGATTTAAGTTAGAATATGTTTAGTAGTGTTAGGATTTATTGTTTTCTCTCCACCAAAAGCATATCAGGAACAATTTCGATCATTCCTGGCACCAAAAAGAGCAAATGATGGTAATACCCTCCATTTAGATTGCCAACTGACGGAAATTGTTATAGAGGACCACTTTTGGCACAAATTGAAAAGTCCAAAGTATCACATTTGGTCGATTTAGAAGTTTAGAACTAAAATTATCAATACTTGGTTGGAGGACCATTTCTAATATTAACTCAATTACAAATGTCAATCCCATAGGTTTAGGACCGAGTTAAGGGTAGTAGTGAATGCATTAAGAGGTAGTAGGTTTAGGGGTATAGATGCATAGTCATGTGAGATGGAGATGCAATCCTAATCTTTTGGGAACCTACTAAATGAGGGACATTGTATTGTAGGGAAGGGGGATTGTGAGGCCCACCTTACGTCCTTACCCCGTCGGCAAATTATACCATGGACTAGGATTGTGGACCCTGGTCCAAAATAATCATCACTTTATGTGTGTGCAATTGATATATTCTGTACTTGCAGTTAACAGTTTATGTGCTTATAAATAAATTGAAGACACATGTTAACGTGAAGATACATAACATGATAAATACAGACACATGATATGTTAACTGCAAACACATAATAACATGTTAACTATAGAGGCTTAACATGGTAACTACAGACACATGATATGTTAACTACAGACACATAATATGTGCCTTCAATTTATTTAAAGGCACATAAACTGTTAACTACAAGTACAGAATATGTTAACGACACAATTTTTGGACCAAGGTCCGCAACGCAAGATGGACCCTGGTCCATGATATAACAATTGACCCTCGTCTCCCCCCAAGTCCTAGCAAATGGCCCCCACTGTGTTACTTGACATAACAATATTCTAAGTTATCACATTACTGGCAAATGGAGTCATATATTTCATCTGATTCTGTCGTTGATTGCACCAAATACTAATCAATTTGGAGATTGTTTCTTCTCTAAGCTGCCATATGGAGCTTGCTTTGAAATGAATATCATTGATGAGGTCTGTTTCTTCTGCAAGGTATCAAACAAGTTCTACTTCACATTCTCTGTCTGCTCTGATGCACTGGAAAATGGTCCGAGGATTCGGACTGTTGTTCCTGCCACGGAGGAGGAAGCACGTCGTGTAATTGAGCGCATGGATGCCGAAAAATGTTGTTAATGTTAAAAACTGCGCCATTGCAGGACATCATGAGGTTCATATTTTCATCATTTCTGCATGAGGGTATTTGGATAATTTGGTTCATGCTATTTGGCTTTATGGTAGTAATTATTTTGGGATTTATGTATATAGAATCTTTTTTCCTAGCTGAATAAATCAAGTTTAGCTAGTGTAGAATATACTTGTTCACCAAAGAAGTTGGATATTTCCTGATTTGATTGTAAACCTATCCCTCGTATAATCAGGGGTTATCATGCCTTTATGGCTTTATTTAGTAAACATTTATTTTTTTCCAAGGGAAAATTGCAATTTTAATCCTAAGTTATAAGGTAGGTGTAATTTTACTCCTTAATTAGTCACTAAGGTGTCATGTGTGTCTGTCATTTGTCCTTGTTCTAATGGAAGAAGTATTTTTGTATAGAAATTTAAACAACATTAATATAGAAAGGGTAAAACTTATTTTTTTTAGTCTAGTTATTTTGGACGGAATCTAATTTATTATACGTAAGAGATTTGTTAGGGTTTAGGGTATTCATATTTCATATGTAAAAATTAAAATTGTTAATAATTGAAAGAAATATATGTGATATTTTAAAGTTATTAAATTGATCGAACTTTAGACATTTCATTTGTAAGAGCAACAGTTATACTACTCGACCACAAGGTCTTTGTCACCTTGTAACTAATTAGAATTACTATTGCCTCATTAAATCTCATTTACTACTCGGGAACTTAAATTACAATTTATCCCCTTTTAAAAAAAATAATATATATATATATATATATATATATATATATATATATATATATATATATTAAATTATGAATAGTTTATAACTTGTCTTTCATATCTATCTTTTGATAGTGAAATAGTGAATCTTCAAATATTCCAAGTGTAAACTCATGGAATTTGAAGAAGAAAATGAGGGCTATGTTGTCATAATAAGCTACGTAGTATAATAACACTCATCCATTATACTCCATATATATATTTTTTTTTTGAATGCATTATACTCCATATTTAACAGCAAGTAAAAACAAGAAACAGAAAGGAATAATACTACTTATACACTCTAATTTTTTGACACAGTTACTTGGTTTATCTATGCCCTCAGATTATTCTCCTTGATAGCATGGGCATGGATAAAATGTATAAAAATTAGAGCGTGTAAATAGCATTACCCATATTTTATATAAAAAAAAAAAAAAATCAAATTCTAACTATATAGAATCTATACAAACCCCCAAAACTAACTTTAGGGATGTCAAAACCTCAATCCCTTTGCTCTCCAGTGAATACAAGACATGAAGCTATTCACGACGAGGAAGAGCTGTCTTCATCGGAAGATGAAGTGTCTTGCTGCCTTCCAATGTCGTATCCAGGAAATATGTGAAACGGTTGGCCTCGTGAGCTACTGATTGTGGTTCGATCATTTATTTTGCCAACATCTTTGCATACCTGATCGAGGATACAGAGGAAGTCCCTCACGACCGTGAATATTCGGAGTGGATGAGCTTCTTCCTTAGTTGAGTCCCCATCGAAATATTCTGTCAGCTCCTTCACAATGGAGAAGGACATGCTCTCTCGGGCTTGAATGTTGAGGATTTCTACTTCTGCCTTTTTCAGAAACCGCTTCATCGATTCACAAAACTTCTCGTTACTCTCCTTCAAGGCTAATTCTTTGCTTATTTTCACTACTTCTTCGATCTTGGCAACTCCTTCTGCTAGCTTTGCGGCTTCGTTCCTAAGAACATTCGAGTCCATTGAGGCCGCTTTCTTGGCATTTGTGAGCTCCCCACTCAAGCCAGAAAGAACTTGAAGACCAACCTTTCTGAGTTCAACCTCATCCCGGAAGGTGGATTGTTGATTATTTTCCTTTGGAGGAGCACCAGAAAGTCGAGACCCTTCTGCTCTTATGATTTCTTGGACGACAAAATGTAGGAGTGTAGTTTTTCCATCACTACCCTTAACATCTACGAGCTTAAGAAGTGTGTCGAGTTTGAAGGCAAGCGCATCGCCACGGTTGGTTCCAATGTTCATGCGGTTTCCAGTTTTTAGTACAGCTTCTAGGAGCTTTAGAAACATTCTGCTGTTCCTCAACTCTTCACATGCCACCTGAAACGATAGAATAACAATGGTTAACTAGAAAAGAAGGCTATAATATTTGCAAAGCTTCAATTGTTTCCCCTAACCATTTTGCTATTCCTCTACATACCAAAAGCGATTGGGCGGAGGCCGGTAACGGGCCAATAATTGGTGGCTAGGGGATTGTTGGGCGGAGGCCGGTAAAAGGCCAAGTCCAGCATCCTGCCTCTCGAAAATGTGATGGCAGTATAAGGAAATAAAGTTGCGCCTTTATGGTATTTGGGGGTAAGCGCTTGATCCTAGCAAGTGATATGAGAGCCATGTCACGGGTTTAAGACTGTTCGGGGATTGTTGGACTGAGGCCAGTAAAAGGTCAAACATTTGGCGTAGTGGTAAGCGCTTGATCTTAACAAAAGCTAAGATATAGGAAATTATCCGTCCCTCTGAACAAGTAAACCACGACACACCTCTTCATGGTCAAAATATTTGTGTGGATCACAATATCAGCATACATATAACTGCACAAAGCCAATGCAGATTTGGTCTAGCAGCTAAGGCCGATTATGAAGCCTTTCAGGACAACAATCACATCGTACTAGAACCAATTATATATTGTCCCAATACACATTAATTATGTCCACAGAATCAAACTAGTAAATAAAATCTGCACTTCAGTTAGATGTGTTGATGTGCCCTATCATCATTATCATGTATTCATGTCAAGTAATAGGGAGAAATACAGAAGATATTATTATCTCTACAATTTGAATGATGAAAGTCGAATTTACCTCGAGTGTCTCAAATGATCTCTTCAAGTACTCAACCTCTGAATCAAAATTGGCTATATAAAGCATTGCATCCACCCTTCTAAACGCAAAAGGTATATCAAGCACCGTTTTGAGAAATTTTTCAGCAGGGCCCAGCTTGAGCGGTGATGCATCGTTGAATTCCTTTAACATACATTCCTCTTCTTTAGTGGGAGCCATCTTTAACAAACTTTCAAGAAGTTCTGTTCCCAGTATATCTGCATTGCCTGTTTACATTTAAAAAAAAAAAAAAAAAAAGAATAAAGATGAATATACTTATTGATGCAAAAGACCTTGTTTTTAAACTAGACAGATCATCATCTACACATGCATACTCCCATCCATAAGGTTAGCAATGGGGTTGAATGTCACTCAAGATGAGATGAGCAAGAGATATCTCATCGCTATATAAGCATAAATGTGCAATCCAACTATCAGCTTAGACTTTTAGCTGAGATGGAGCACATGATTTGGTATCAGAGCCAACCCCATGCCAAAGGTCATGAAACTATGGTTCATGTGTTTGCTTTAGATTTTTAGTTGAGATGTAGCACATGCTTCAATTAACTAACTGTATTGAGATAACAACTTCTCATGATGAATTGATGACTTTAAAAAAAACTCCATGAAGTAACAAGCTCTTTACCTTCTAAAAGCGCTTCACAAACTTCATCTATAGTAACATTAAGTGCTCTCAACAAAATCGCAATGTTTTGAGATTTCTTCGGGTCAAGCACCTTATTCTCCTGATTCAACACCGGCATCAATGGGTGTTTATTGCGATCTTTCGAAAAGTTTACCACGAATAACGTCTCAATCATTTCCTCATTCAACCTACAACAAGGCAACAATCAAATCTCCTCTATATATAAAACATTAAACAAAAGGAAAACGAAAAGGGCAAGAAAATGCAGACATGACTTATGCTATGAAGTTGTCGAAGAACATATATGAGTTAGGTATAAAAATTAAAAATTAAAAATCTCACTGAAAAGAGCCAGATTTCAACTGATCCCAAACCATTGCTCTATCAGAAGTACTGGTTCTAACTTTATCCCAATGCAAAGGCTTGAGCTTCGGCTTCATAGTCTCTACATTTCTCGTATCTCCAGCACCCGAACCATCCAACGAGCCACTCATATTCGGGCCCGGGCATATTACTACTGGCCTTGATGGTGCCACAAGCACTGGTGGACCCTCGTTTTGCACCACCGGAGGAGGTGGTGGAGGTGGCGGTGGAGGAAGTTTTACACACATATAGCTTCCGGAATCAGGCGGTTTTCTCACCGGAGACTCTAGAATCTTCAGAGATGAATCTGAAACTCCGGGAGACAATGGCGGGGCGGGAATGAAGCGGGGTTGAGCAGGGAAGTTGAGTAATGAGTCAGGGGACCTCAAGCTTCTAGGGCTCAAATTCAAGTCTATGGAAGGACTAGCACATGAAGAATCAATTGGGGAATTCAAATTCGAAATGGGAAAGCTATTCTGAGCCCTAAATGGCTCTTCAAACCCTCGCTGAGAGATCCAATCGTTAAGGTTGGGACTATTTCTGCCGCCTGAGGTCCCCGTGGGAGAGAAAAACTCTTCCTCTTCTTCTTCCGCCGGGAACATGGCATCACCATTTCTCCGTTTCTGTTGGAGCAGCGGCAGGGGCCGGAGCTCCGGCGAACCGAGGCGCTGGAGGTTCAATGGCGGTTTCTTCATAGTGTCGCCGCCGAAGCCTGCGTCGTCGGAAGGTGTGGCGTTAGGCGGGACAAGGCGGAGGCTGTCGGTCTTTTCCCGGTGGCTCTTCTCGCTGTAGCGGCGGCGGTGGAGGAGGAAAAACACGGCGAGGCCGAAAACGAGGCAAGCAAACACAACAAAGACAACCACAATACCGGTTATCACCTTCGGAGAAACGGGCTCGCCGCCATTTGAGGAAGACTCCGGCACAACAATGGAGGAAATATTCGCCGGAAGAGTAGCAACGGCGGAAGAACCCGGCGCAGGCGGCGGCGACGGCAGCGGAGATGAAGTGTAAACCGGGAAAAACGGGTTCCGAACTAAGGGCGGATTCGGGGGAGAAGCAGAGGGAGGGTGAGCAACACTAGTAGAAGGAAGAGAAGTTCCAAGTGGGAAGAGCGGTTGGTGGAGGATCCGCCGGCCATGGCGGCTCTGATGTGCGGCGCCGGCGGGAGGAGAAAGAAGCAATACTATTAACAATGCTAAGAACACCATTATCGCAAATGCAGAAGCCATAGAAGTACAGCGACAAGTGATTATAGATATTTATCTGCACTGAGAGCAAACTGTAATCATCAAAAGATGAATTCTTTGAAGAACCCAGAGAAGATAAAGAATATAGTGAGAGCTTTACATTGTTGCAGCAATGGAGAAAGGAAGGGTACAGATTGTAGTACAGAGTGAGAGCGGTGGGGGTTGGGGGGTGCAATGTATAGTTGAGAAATTAAAGAAGAGAAACCCCACCATAATAATTTTATTCTTTGAGCATAGTAATATTTTCTTTAAATTATTAGGAAAGGTAATTCACGGGTGAAATTGTTTCACATATCATTATTTGTAAAATAAGTTTAATCTAAATAGAAATACAAGTGAGAAAAAATTTATAATAACATGCAATTATTTTGTACTCTATTTAAATATAAGAATAAATGTAAAATATGTCATCCAACTACACAACAAATTACAATTGGGTCATTTAACTCAAAAAAATTACAATTAAATTTTCGAGCAATACAAAAAATAATTTAATTCAACCAAAAAGTACATGTTTAATCTATTCTTTTTAACCTAAAGTCACAAGTTGTGACTTTAGGTTAAAAAGAATAGATTAAATTGTCATAGCTATTAGCTCAAATTAAAATAAACAATTCTTGTTTCAAAAAAAAATAAATAAATAAACAATTCTTTTAGGAGCATATATCCACATTGGATGAATTTTTTGTCAATTTTTTACTTGCCAATTAGGAGAGAGTGAAGAAGAAAAAGAAGAAAAAATGAAAAAAAAAAATAAAAAAAAATAGCCGTTTATGAGAGCACTGTCCGACTAACTTTATTATTATTATTTTTTTTATTCATATGTCCAAAAAAAAATCCCACAAAACCATAGTCGTTAATATCATGCACAAGGGCGTACAATGCATAGTGCATCCCGTCCTACCAAAAATGACGTTGTTTTAGTTCATTGTCTAAAATTCTCTGTTTTAAATACACAAACTCATAACAGAATGTACAGAAACTTATAACTGAATACACATAATCTAACATGATACATAATACACAGAAACTCTTAACTGAATACACAAAAGCTCATAACACAATACACAAAAACTTTTAACTGAATACACATCATGGGGCTTGGGCCGTTTGGACGGATGGAGTGACGTCAACAATTGAAGCACGCACGTTTGTGCCTGAGCGCATATTGCTATGTGCGCCGTGGTGTAAGATATAAATTGCCCCAAAACCACTATTATTATGCTCTAATGAATGGTTCGTTAGAGTTAATATGTGAAATGTTTTGAATACTGAATTTTTATTTGATGGATAAATTGAAACTGAAATTTAATTTTTATATGACATATATATATTAAATCAAAATTTAACTAAATGTTTCAATTCGGTTTCAATTTCAAACTGCGACAAAATATTTTAAATTTAGTTTGGCTTGATATAATTGTCGGAAAAGGACTACATAAATGGTGAGAGAAGAGAAAACATATTGAAGAGGAAGATGGTATATTGAAGTTAACTGCTCATAGCTTTACATACTGGTTTATATACACAAGGTGAATGTATGGACCGTTACAACCGAAAGAAGGAAGGATATGGAATGACAATAAACTCCCTATGCTAAGCTTTCCTGCTTATTTATTTTCATCCTCCAACAATAATAATAGAGGTAATTATATAAATTAAAAGAAAATGACATTCATATCTTTAGATCACTCCATTATCTATTATCTATTAGTTATATAATAGATATATAATAGACGAGGGTGAGCATAATGTATTTTCCTATTTTTCCTTCTTAAAATTTTTTCTATTTTAAATTTATTTTTCTTTTTTACACATGAAATTAATGTATAAAACATATTATTAAAAACTCTAATTGAGATATTTTAAATAACACCTATTTTAATATTTTTTAAATTTTTAAATAAATCACTACATTATTGTTGGTTCATCAGGTCACAACTATAGGTGCATAAATTCACTATTATAGGCTCATAAAATTACTAGTTTACTACTACAAGTTTATCTCAAAGTATTAAATAATTTATTAAATACTTTATTAAAAAATTATATCAATATAAGTGTCATTTAAAATATCTCAACAACACTTATATATATATATATATATATATATATATATATATATATATATATATATATATATATATATATATATATATATATATATTGATTTTATTTGTACAAACCTAAATAGAGAATAATATATTTAAGTGATAATTGATCAATTAGTGTCTTTATATTTTTATGAATTTACAATATTAATTTCATGTACTTGAACTTTTTATGTACATACAATATTATTTTTATATACACTAGTATTGTCCCGTGTGATGCACGGGCTAAATATTAAAGATTTGTTTGTAATGTTAGAATATGTAAAAAATATTTTTAATAATGGTATTTGAAGTACAGAAGAAGAAAACATGAACCACAATTTAATTGTTTAAAATTACATTTTTATTAAGTATATGACAAAATAACTATGATATTGTATTTACAATATTTAATTTAATAATTGAAAATAGTATGATACAAAAAGTTACTATTATTAATCGCAGCTAACGGTACACATATTTGATCTTGAGTATGTCTACTCCTAGTATACTACTCATGCGATGCAAGAAATGAATATTGGACAATATTATAATAATATTATTTATTAAAAAAATACATAACCTAATATCAACATAGTTGCAATTCATATTCATATTCATATTCATATATATATATATATATATATATATATATATATATATATATATATATATATATATATATATTTACTTATTAATTTATGTTATTAATATTATTATTAATTATTATTATATATAATAATAATAATAATAATAATTAATAATAATATTAATAACATAAATTAATAAGTAAATAAATAAATAAATATATATATATATATATATATATATATATATATATATACACACACACACACACACACACACACACACACACACACATACCATATGGTCTTGTGAAAATTAAATGTTGTTAATACAAACATTTAACCATTAATATCAACATTTAATTTTCACAAGACCATATGGCTTTATTATAATTAAGACGAGTTCATGATGCAACATGGATCTTATTCAATGATTTAATTTGTCTCAAATCTCTCATATAACACCTGTAGCCTTATTATTAAAAATAAAAATAATAACGGACAAATAAACCCTTCAACTATTAAAGAAAATGTAATTGTTCCAAATTTCTATTTCATCATTAAACTTGTAAAAAATGCAATAAACCCATTCTGACCTATTATTTCCTGCAAACATGAAGTTACAATCATGTAAGTTGTTACATCATATATTTATCTTATTCATTGTCTACATAAGATGCCAACTCCTCATCACCATCTTCAAAGAATTTTTTTTTTTTTTTAAATTAAAAGAAAAGAAAAGAAAAAAGGCCAATACTTAAAAAAAAAAAAAATGGTTTAAGTTGGCCCAATTTAAGTTAATTTTAACTTCACTGTACTTTATTAATATTGGATGCCTACGAGTGATATAATCTCATGAAATATAGAGTAAAATACATGCAAACACTATAAAAGAATAAAGAGTAAATACCCAAAATGGTCACTCGACTATAGCTAAATTCACAAATTGGTCTTCGACTTTCAATTTCAACCAATTAAGTCCTTAACTTTGTAATTTTGACACGATTTGGTCCTCCATCTATTTGACCGTGATCGACGATCTCCAGAAGAACCTTCAGCTCTCGTCGGAGCACGTGGAGGCCTCCAGGATGACGTTGCACTGGTTTGGAAACACGTCGTCTTCTTCGCTCTGGTACGAACTCAACTACATTGAATACAAAGGGAGGATGAAGAAAGGCGACCGGATTTTGTAGATTGCTTTTTGGCAGTGGATTTAAATGTAACAGTGCGGTCTGGAAATGCAACCAGAACCTTAAAAAATTGACGATGGCGCATGAAATCGCATATATATCCTCAAAAATCACAGTCAACAAACGGTCAAATAGCCAGAGGACCAAATTGTGTTAAAATTACAAAGTTAAGGACTTAATTGGTTGAAATTGAAAGTCGAGGACCAATTTGTGAATTTAGCTATAGTCGAAGGATCATTTTGAGTATTTACTCAAGAATAAATTATATCATGAACAAAGGTCTAAGTATGTTGTGAGTGTTATGTGAGTTGTGTTAATTAAAGGAAACTTCAACAGGGCTAGTATGTGAGTAAAGAGTATGGCGCAAACCAATCACTAGTTTGCAAGTTATGTAGAAGCTAGCTCAAACAAAACAAATGGTGATGTGATCCAAAGGTAAAGACAAGAAATAAACAAGCAAATAAAAGAAACAAATATGAAAGGCAAACAAAGGGAAAGAATTCCAACTTCACCAACCCTTATTACCAAGATGCTAGAGAGTGTCTTGAAATTGGGGAGCATGTAATGGTATAGCCAGGGCCAAGGGAGATGCAACAAATGTGACGACAACACTATTCTCATAGTCATTGGACAAGGCAACTAGTATGCGGGCCGATCGATCTTGATGAGCTCCAAGTAACACGTGGATCGTAATTTTTTTTTTTTTTTTTTTTGGCATGACTTTGATACCAAATTGAAGCATATATATATATATGCTCAACAGTGTGACTATAGTGTGTTACATTCTCGTGATATTCACACAAATCCAATAATTCCCAGGTTAACTAGGCCTAAGGTCAGACAAGAGATCAACTGAGTCACTACACAATAAGCAATTCCCTTTATACAATTCAAACCACATAGAGCATTAAAAAAACACACACAACAACAACAACAACAAGAGATAAACTTAATTAAATTCTCTAGATGATTTAACTACACATATTATAAAGCAAGAAATGTAAAATTTCATAATAAACTTTAACGATAAAGCAATTGATAAAAGTAAAAGGAATTAAAATTGATCAAGTAGTAGAGAAACTTAGCTTTAATCCATAGAGAATTAAATATTACAATAATGTTAAAATTGTTTTAGAAATAAAAATTAAAAGTTCTAATCTAACCCTATTCTAAGTGGAGAAGAGAAAAATTATGAATGAGGTTTAAATGTCCAAAATTATGATAAAATGCAGCCCCCCCCCCCCCCCCCCCCCCCCCCCACCACACGGTCTTGTTGAATTTTCCTTTAACAATTT